TATGAAAGCAAATAGATGAGAAGTTCAAGACCATCATTGGCTACATAATGAGTAGGAGGCCATCTTGGATAGCCTATCTCAAAATAAGAAAATCATATTTATTTATTTATTTATTTAATTTATTTAGAAACAGAGAGAGAGAGAGAGAGAGAGAGACAGAGAGAGAGAGAGACAGAGAGGAAGGAAAAAGGATCCAAAATTATAAATATTTAAGCTGGAAAGTCTTGGGCATGAAGCTGGCTAAGCCAGTAAAGGTACTGATGATCTAAGTTCAGTCAATGAATCCTGAGTGCTGGGATTATAGATGTGTACCACCCCATCTGGTTTTATGCACTCTCATCGTGGCATGTGCGCATGTACATGTACACACACACACACAAATAAATAAATCTAAAAAAATTTTAAGCTAGGGATTGTAGAGATGACTTAATAGTTAAGAGCATGTACTATTCTGGCAGAAGACCCGAGTTCAGTTCCCCGCACCCATGTAGGGCAGCTCACAACAGCCTGTAACTCCAGCTATTGTGGATCCAACCCCTTCTATCCTCCATGGGAACCTGAACTTCTGAGCACATACTAATGCACAGAGATACACAAATACACAGTTTTTTTTTTTTTTTTTGGTCTTTTTGAGACAGGGTCTCCCTGTAGCCCCAGCTGTCCTGGAACTCACTATGTAGACCAGGCTGGCCTTGAACTCACAGAGATCCGCCTGCCTCTGCCTCCCAAGCGCTGGAATTAAAGGCATGTGCCACCACACCTGGCTCAAATACACAATTTTAAAGAATAAAATCTTGGTGACTGCAGAAATGATGCATCAGGTAAGAGCACTGGCTATTCCTGCAGAGGACCCTATTCTAACACCCACATGGCACAGATAACAATTATTCATAAATCCAGTTCTAGGGGATCCAGAACCCTCTTCTTGACCTCCATGAGCATTGCATGCATGGGTACACTTACATCAATGGAAGCAAAACAATCATACACATAAAATAAAAATAAATTTCAAAAATAAAATTAAAATTTTTTTTTTGTTTTTTTTTTTGAGACAGGGTCTCCCTGTAGCCAGCTGTCCTGGAACTCACTATGTAGACCAGGCTGGCCTTGAACTCACAGAGATCCGCCTGCCTCTGCCTCCCGAGTGCTGGGATTAAAGGCATGTGCCACCACGCCCGGCTAGAATAAAATATTTTTAAAAATTAAACTGGAAAATCTCTAAGTAGTTTTTTTATTTTGACAGATCCTCCAACTCTTTGAATCTTCTGGTCAAGAGTCAGTGTGGAAAAGAAGAAGAGTTAGAGAGCCAAAGGAACATACATAAAAATTATTTTTTCTTATTCATATTTGTAATTCTGTTCAACATTTAAACTAAGAGATGCTGTATTATTAATTTTCTGTACCTCTGAGAATTATTTGTAGCTTTACAGAGTTCATACACTTAATAAAGTTTTTAGCTCCTATTTTGTGGTCTTTAATCTTACCTGAGATAAATCCAAGGGAACTATTGAATAAAAACCAAGGTACAAATGTCATAATTGATTCTACTCATTACTGAATATTGATCTGTCTTCCACTTTAAAGGGAGTTTTCCTTAAATATGTATTAACTTTTTTAAAACTTTAAAAAATCTTTTTTTTTGAAATATTATTTTTATGTGTATGAGTGTATTGCCTGCATGTGTATAAGTGCACCTCTGTTGTGCAATGCCTATGGAGGTCAGAAGAGGGCATCAGATTCCCTGGCACTGAAGCTACAGATGGTTGCTAACTAGTAAGTGGGTGCTGGGAATCAAATCCCAGTCCTCTGCAAGAGCAGTAAGTGCTCTTAACTGCTGAGCCATCTCTCCAGGCTCTAAATATGTATTAACTTTTAAGGTCCTCTAAAATCATTTTTGAAACAAATGTTTATTTTGGCATTAAATTTTTATAAGGATTCCCTTTTTATGTTAAAACTATGCCATTTAACTGGTTTGTAATTTTATTAAAATAACAGTATTTTGATTTAGTGTATTATTAACATGATATATAATAATTTTTAATTTTTCACTTTTTTTACATTTTGTACTACAGAACAAAGATGACTGATAATAATGTCCAATAAAAGACTAGCATTGTACTAGCCTAAATAAGACATTCAGTATGTAGGCTCTTTCATGCCTTCTAGTTGTTATTTAATTAGCAGAAAGTTAGCCACCAATTTTGAAAACATTTAGGTGGATATTATCTTGGAAGAGTTGAGCACACTTAGAACTTTTTGAGTAGCAACATGAAAGTGATTTAATGTTGCCATTTGCTTCCTTTGCTTTAGAAAAGGAAGACTTCAAGACTTCGCCTCTTGTAGTCTCAACAGCCATATTCCAAAAACGTATATTAGCCTTATCAGTAACAAATGCTATCTACACAGGGATTGTTATGTGTGTGATGGTAGGAACGTACATATCCAGTTTAATGTAAATCAAAAATGCCCACAAACTGAGTCAGATCAGGTTTTTCTAGATGGTTAAGCTATCAGAAACAAAACTTTCAAGAAGTTGTTCTTAGCTTTCGGGCTGGGTACCTACGTTTCTCACCCAGTAGTCCCAGTGTACACTACTACAGGAACACACCTGCCACACTGAAATTGGCCAACAGAAACCCTTCATGATTGGCAGCCCTTTTTATCTCACGAGATACTATGATTGGCTGATTTAATCGGGGTGGGAGCGCAGCCCTTGTCCTCTCTTCCTCTGAAGTTCCTTCATTGGATTGACCAGCTGTCAGGTTAAACCCAAACCTGCCTCCTTTCGGTGATGTTTGTCTGGATCGCAACACAATAGCCCGGAGGGCCGCCCCTCATAAGCTCCGATTGGCTAGACTCAATCTTGGGAGTTTCTGATTGGTCCAGTGAAGAAACACCAAGGTAGGTTGCCTAGTGATCCTGAGGAAGCTGATGTGTTATTCCCCCTCTGCATCGAAGGATCAGGAAGTTTGTGCTCTCTGCGTGCCTGAGAAGTTTTTCATCTACTTAGACGGGGCTGGGTTAGGGGAAACTGGTGTCCTCCTAAAATAGAGCGCAAGCTGGAGCCTGCGTCCCCCTGTAGCCCAGCAGTAACATCAGGTAAGCAACAGAAAAATAACATTTCCTAACGTCCAAAAAGCCTCCAAATTTTTTACTTTATGGGGAAAGGGTGGCTTTTATTTATTGTTGGTAGTGATTTTTTTTCAAATAGGATATTTTAACTAGTAAGTGTCCATAGGGAAATAATGAATTCCTCAAAGAAAATCCCCCCCTATTTCCCCAAGGCTGTAAAGTTTCTTAGATTAGGTTAGGAAATAATCCCAGTTCTGTGCCAAATAGAGTGAGTACCTTAAAGCCCTGGTTCTGTTCCTCTTTCACTTTTCTTGCCTCTAGCCAAAAGTTATATTTGAAGTATACCGTTGTGTGAAGAATTATTTGTGAGTCACTTCATGTGTATTTCAATTTGAAACGTTTACATGCTTTTCTGAGCATCCATTTTAATGAGTATATATTTGTCTAGTAGTTACAACGTTAACAATATTGTGTTAGTTGCTATGGAGAAATAAAAACCCAAGATGGCAATATCCTTGCCCACAAGAAGTTTTAGTTGGCATACAGCCATACCAAAAAAGGGACTGTAATAAATACTTTTTTGCCGCGATAGGGGGAGGTTTGGAGGTGGGAGTTGAGGGTGGGGTTGCAATAGGGTCTCCCTGTAGCCCCAGCTGGAACTCACTATGTAGACTAAGTTGGCCTCAATCTTAGAGATTCGCCTGCCTCTACCATCCGAGTACTGATTAAAGGTGTGCTCCACCACGTCCGGCTATAAATACTTTTGAAAAAGTAAGTATACGTAAAGTTCTGTGAAAGTACAGCTGAAGGAGAAACTAATTCTGGCCATGCAGGGTATGAGTAATGGAGAGGGAGAGATTCACTTAAAGGCTTCACAGTGAGTCTTTGGTAGGCCTTCAAAGACTGGGTAAAATATTAGGAGGAAAGGAAAACGGAGAGAACCCCAGAACAACAAAGGATTAGAGGCTAAAATATCCTTTTGATTGCAAAGGTACATAATGACTGATGTTAAATATTTGTTTTATAAAATTGACATCTAGACTTGTATAAAAATATGCTAACTTTAAACTTTATCACAGATCATTTAAACAGGTATGGTGTTGGGTATAAAAGGGTATGTGCTCTGTTTTTTCATTCTTTTGCTTTGTTTTTGCATTGCCAGGAATGGAGCTTTAGGACTTTGTACATACTAAGCACATGCTTTAACACTGGGCTACATTCCAGCCCCCTTTTTTCTTTTGAGAATTTGATAATCTTTTTTTTTTTTTTTGTCTTTTTGTCTTTTTGAGACAGGGTCTCCCTGTAGCCCCAGCTGTCCTGGAACTCACTATTTAGACCAGGCTGGCCTTGAACTCACAGAGATCCGCCTGCTTCTGCCTCCCAAGTGCTGGGATTAAAGGCGTGTGCCACCACGCCCTGCCCTCGAATTTGATAATCTTTTAACATTCTCTCTAGGTTTTTGGTTAGCAGCTATTTGTATATTCACATGATAACCCACTAGAGCAAGGGTGCTAAGTTCTCATACTTGATTTAAAGCATTGCTCTAGTGATTTCCAATTTGAATCCATGAAATGCACTTTTAGGGTATGCAAAGAAAATACTGCAACATGGGGATGAGAGACAGCTCATTGGGTAAAGGAACCTGCTCCACAAGCCTGGTAACCTGAATTAGACACCCAGAACCCACATAAAAATAGAGCCAACTCCACAAAGTTGTTCCCTGACCGCCACACTTGCACCATAGCATGTGTACACCCACATCATATCATGCACACATACAATAATGATTAAAAATATTTAAACATGTTTTATTTGTATTTGTATTTTTTAAAACTTTTATTTTTATTTTATGTGTATGCGTGTATTGCTTGCATGTAGGTAAGTGCACCCGTGTTGTGCAGTGCCCTCGGAGGTCAGAAGAAGCTGTCGGATCCCCAGGGACTGGAGTTATGCACAGTTGTTAGCTGCCATGTGGGTGCTGGGATTCGAACCCTGGTCTTCTGCAAGAACAACCAGTGTTCTTAACCACTGAGCCATCTCTCCAACCCCATGTATTTGTATTTTTGTATATGTTTCATAGTGTACCATTAAATGTTTATAGAAATTAAAAATTATGTGCATTTGGAGACCAGATGCCTATAATTTTTGCTATTTCATCTTATTTAACTTGAGGATACCTTTTGTGAAAGAAGAGTAACAATGGTAAAAATAATTCACTCCTAGGTTATAGGTTATAGGTTATACCTAAGAGATCAGCATGCTTAATCTTTTTTTTTTTTTTTTGAGACAGGGTCTAGCTGTAGCTGGCCTGGAACTCGCTATATAGACCAGGCTGGCCTCAAACTCACAGAGATCCACCTGCCTCTGCCTCCTGAGTGCTGGGACTAAAGGCATGCGCTACCATACCTGGCTTACAGGTAATCTTTTTATTGCCATCTGTGAAATTTAAGCTGTTACACTGTGAAAAAGATAGCACATTAGCCAGGGCTTCTGTTTACTTCTTTCTATAGTTAAGCTTAGTCATTTTTAGCACATGTGTGTATACACACACATTCACACACACACATACACGTGTCTTCTGTGAATCTATATTTATTTACTAAAGCACACATACAGATATTTTTCACCACTCCCTCCAGAAACAGGTGAGAATGACGACATTAACTCACCGAACCCGCCGAACTGAAGTAAGCAAGACCTCTGAAAAGAAAGTAGAAACTGAAGAAGACACTAATCAAGACAGAAGTCCAGATAATGATGACCCTGGAGACTCTAAGGATATCCGACTCACTCTTATGGAAGAAGTATTGCTCCTGGGACTAAAAGATAAAGAGGTAATGCCATTAGGTTTGCCAGACTATCTCAAAGACTCAAATATTGGAATGTTTAGGAAGTAAACTCAGCCATAATGGAGATGGAGGAACATGGGAAAGAGACTGATACTTGCAAGGTAAAATCCAGAAATATAATTACTTAAAGTATAATTTAATTACATAATTATTGGGCGCATGCCTTTAATCCCAGCACTTGGGAGGCAGAGGCAGGCAGATCTTTGTGGCTAGCCTGGTCTACATAGTGAGTTCCAGGACAGCTGGGGCTACAAGGAGACCCTGTCTCAAAACAAACAAATGAAAGAAAAGTAAAGGTTATACTTGTAGTTTCCCAAGTCAGTTTAATGATGAAATAATAGCTTCTTATTAAACTTAGAAAGAGGGCCCATATATTCAACTCTTTTTGAGCTTGGAAGAGAAGAAAATCTTCAACCAGGTATGGTGACCTACACTTATAGCAGTTATATACACTTATAGTAAAGGCAATTGGATCTCCATAAGTTCAAAGCCAGCATGATCTAGCTAGAGCCATGAAGCAAGACCCTGTCTTAAAATTCAAAATAAGACAAAAACAAAAAAAGTATGAATATCTGTTTTATAGAAACAAATAATGGGTAGGTTTCTTATAGTAGAAATTATTTTTCTCAGGCCAAAGTTGGTGGTACATGCCTATAATCCTGGCACTAGGAAGATAATGAGTTAAAGGTCATCTTTGGCTACATAGAAGTTTGAAACCCTGTCTCAAAAAGCCAAAGGTTGTTGGGCATGGTGGCATATGCCTTTAATCCCAGCACTTGGGAAGAAAGGTAGGCAGAGCTCTGTAAGTTCAAGGTCAGCCTGGTCTATATAGTGAGTCCCAGGCCAACTGGGACTACAGGGAGACCCTGTCTCAAAAAGAACCAAAAAAAAAAAAAAAAGCCAAGGGGAAGAACTGAAGAGATGGCTTAGATGGCTTAGCAGTTAAGAGCACTGGCTGCTCTTTCAGAGGACCTGGGTTTAACAGGTAGCAACCATCCATAACTCTAGTTCCAAGGGATCAAATGCCTTCTTCTGACCTTGAAAGGCATTGTATGACGTGGGTGCATATACATATGTGTAGGTAAAACATACATATAAAAATATTTAAAAAATAAAAGGCAAGTGTGGTGGTGTACATCTGCAATCCAGCAAGAAGATTATTCAAGGTCAGCCTGGGCTACATAAGCAACTTTGAGGCCTGGATTACATGATAAGATTTTCTTTTTTTTTAATTTTAATTTTTTTATATACGAGTATATTGCCTACATGTGTGTAAGTGCACTCATGTTGTGCAGTGTGCAGTGCCCAAGGAGGTCAAAAGAGGACGTTGGGTCCCCTAGAATTGGAGTCACAGATGGTTGTTAACCATGATGTGGGTGCTGGGAATCAAATCCAGGTCCTGTGCAAGAGCAGCCAGTGTTCTTAACTACTGAGCTATCTCTCCAGCCCAGATTTTCTTTTTCCTTAAGACAAGATTTCATGTAAGCCTGAAATGTAGCAAAGGATGATGACCTTGAACTTCTGATTCTCCTGCTTTAATCTTCTAAATACTGGGATTAAGAGCACCTTGTCACCATGTCTGCTTTATGTGGTGCTGTGGGCTGAACCCAGTACTTCATGCATGCTAAGCTACATCTACCTGCCTAGCTACATCCCCAGCCCAACAATTTTCTTTCATTGTTTTTTTGTTGTTGTTGTTTGAAACAGAGTTTTTGCTATGTATCCATAGCTTTCCTGAAATTTATTAGGTAAACTAAACTAGCCTCTAATCCAGAGCAATCCTCCTGTCTCTGCCTAGAAAGAACAATTTATTTTACAATAGAACTGATAAGTCTTATAGTATAATAACCAGATATTTTCCTGGCTTTTCTAGCAATAATGTACACTATCTTTCATTTGTAAGTTAACTTTTTTTTATCTGTGTATGTGTAGGTACATGTTTGTGGTATATGTGTATTTTATATGTGCAGATGCACATATGTGTGTGGGTGCATGTGGAAGTCAGGAGAACTTTGAATGTTTCTCAAGAGCCATCCACCTTGAGTTTAAAAAAAAAATACTTTGCTGGGCGTGGTAGTGCACGCCTTTGGTCCCAGTACTTGGGAGGCAGAGGCAGGCAGATCTTTGTGAGTTCAAGCCCAGCCTGGTCTGCATAGTGAGTTCTAGGACAGCTGGGGCTACAAGGAGACCCTGTCTCAAAAAGACAAAAAAAAAAAAAAAAAATGGCTGAGCTTGGTGGTGCACGCCTTTAATCCCAGCACTTCGGAGGCAGAGGCAGGTGGATCTCTGTGAGTTCCAGGCCAGCTGAGGCTACAAGGAGACCCTGTCTCAAAAAAAAACCAAAAAAAATTTTTATTATATATATTTTTATGTGTATGAGTATGTAAGTGCACCCATGGAAGACAGAAGAGGCCATTGGATCCCCTGGAACTGGAGCTATGGACAATTGTTAGCCACCATGTGGGTGCTGGGAACCAAACTCAAGTCCTTTTATTTTTTTAATATTTATTATTTTTATTTTATGTGTATGAGTATTTTGCCTGCATGTGTTTAAGTTCACCCATGTCATGCAGTGCCCAAGGAGGTCAGAAGAGGGTGTTGGATCCTCTGGAACTAGAGTTACAGATGGTTGTTAGCTGCCATGTGGGTGCTGGGAATTGAACCTGGGTCCTTTGCAAGAGCAGCCAGTAATCTTAACCACTTAGCCATCTCTCCAGCCCCCAAATCAGGAGCAACCACTAAGCCATCTCTCCAGCTCTTGTCCACACTAAGCTGGAACTCATCAAGTAGACTAAGCTGGCTGGCCAGCAAGTCCTAGGATTCTCCCTATCTTTGCCTCCCAAGGTCTGGCTTTTTTTTTTTTTTTAAACATGGATTTTGGGGATTGTACTCAGGCCTTTGTGCTTACAAGGTAAGTATTTTACCTACTGATCTATCTCCCCAGGTCCTTTAACTTTTTTTTAAGATTTTTTTTTTAAATGGCAGCTAACAGCTGTCTGTAACTCCAGTCCCAGGGGATCGGACAGCCTCTTCTGACCTCTGCAGGCATTGCACGGCACAGGTGCACTTACCTACATTCAGGCAATACACACATACACATAAAATACAAATAATAAATTTTAAAAACATGTGTATTGTATATTTGTCTATGTGAGTGTATGTCGTGTGTGTGTCCACCCATGGAGACCAGAAGAGGGTGTTAGATCCTCTGGAGCTGGAGTTACAGGCATTGTGAGCTGCCTCATGTGGGTGCTGGGAACAGAACTCAGGTCCTCTAAAAGAACAACAAGCATTCTTAAGCCCTGAGTCACCTCTCCAGCCCCTTAAGTTAACATTTTACTGAATATTCCATGAAGAAGTTATGAAGGCATGTAGTTACATATATATTTTTGTTTGTTTGTTTGTTTGTTTTTACATTTAAAAAAATTGTGCTTTTTCTGGGTGTGGTGGTACACGCCTTTAATCTCAGCACTCAGCGCAGGCAGCAGGCAGGGGAATCTCTATGAGTTCAAGGCCAGCCTGGTCTACATAGCAAGTTCCAGACCAGCTAGGGCTACAGGGAGACCCTGTCTCAAAAAGACCAAAAAAACATTGTGTTTTCATAGTATGTGTGTGTTGTGTGTGTGTGTGTGTGTGTGTGTGTGTGTGTGTGTGTGTGTGTGTGCTTGTCATGGTGCACATGTAGAAATTAGAGGACAACTTGTAGGAATGCTTCTCTCCTTCCATCATGTGGGTTCCAGGGATCCAACTCAGGTCATCAGGCTTGGCAGCAGGCGCCTTTACCCACTGAGCCTTCTTACTGGCCCTAGATAAACATTTTAAACACCCTTTTTCCTTTCCAAGAACATCTTAAGCAAATACCAAAAATATAGAAATAGAAATATAGAAAAATATTGTTTAGCTTTGATAATTGTCCTTAGAAATTATTTGGCCATCTACATCTAGTAGTATCTCTTCTTTCCTGCACTGATTTTCTGAATTGGAAATACCCTTATTCTTACACTGTAGATTTTATTTACTATGTCTAGTGTCTATTTTTATCCTATCAAATTACCAAGGTAATCTTGTAAGCTGTACATTTTATTTTACTTTACTAAAATTTTTTTGATATATATGTGAGAGAGTGTATGTGTGTGGAATATAAACATGTATGTATGTGGTATATAAACACATATGTGTCTTCCTTCTACACGAGAAACTTGGATGTCCCATTCCATCACTCTCCACCTTATTCCCTTGAGAGAGGGTCTGTCGCTAAACCTGGAGCTAACCTGGCAGCCAGCAAGCCCCAGTTTTTTTCCTGTCTCTTCCTCCCACAATGTTGGGATTACGGACACCCATGGCTACACCCAGCTTTTTATGTGGGTGCTGGGCATTTGAACTCGGGTACTCATGGCAAGTGCTCTTAGCTACTGAGCTATCTCTCCAGCCCCTTTACTTTTTTGAGATTTGGGTTCTGGGGATCCAGAGTCAAGTCCTCATGCTTGCATGGCAAGTGCTTTACCCAGTGAGTCATCCCCAGCCCCAGAGTTTTAAATAGAACTGATTAGTTTCTTAGTGACCCTAAATACCAGAATTTTTGCTTCTGTGCTGTAGAGAAACTGCTTTTGAACTTTGTATACTCATAACTTCTTAGTAAATATAAATTTTAGGACACAGAACAAAAGAGGACTTCATTGAGAGCTATGACCATAGTTATTACTCAACGTATTGGTGATCCATTATATAAAATGGACAAATAATTTACCACCTTTGGAGTTATTCTAATTTATTTATGAAGATAGTTCACAAATTTTTAGTTTTAACTTGGTTCAGGAAGTACTCACATAGGGGCTTACAACCATCTTCAATTCCAATTCCAGGAAATCGACACTCCTTTCTGGCCTCCCCAAACACTAGGCCCACATATGATACACATGCATACATGCAGGCAAGAAACTCATACACATTAAATAAAATTTTTTTAAAGAAAAGAACAGGGGCTG